GACAGAAAAAAGTGAAAACTCTGCAACTTAATCCTCACTTCCCTTATGTTTTCCAAACAACTCTAATGAAGTAATCACAAACATCCTGAAAATCAGTGAAGTACTGTAACAAAGATGACTCTGCAATATGCTAAACATGTTTTAAATGTCCCAAAGATTGTGTCCAGGGTCTGTCTTTATCATTCCCCATGCATTGTGACAATCATAAAAGACCTTACTCCTACTCTGTGGAAAGGTAGGTGAAGGGGTAGTGTCAAATACTCATCACCTGCTTACAGTGGGATGTGATAAAGAAGGAATTTGGACTTTGTACCTTTCCGGTTTAAAGTCAAATCGCTAATGCTTCCTGTGCAGGAGGCTGTTTTCCTATGCAGTTCAGTAGGTGACAAATTTAATAGGAAATGATTAAATAAAAGCAAAGAGTGTTGATATGGGTTTTATTCTTCTTCAAGGCTTTTGATAATTTGTTTTCAGAAAATAACACAGTCTTTAAGGAATTTAAATGCATCTTTGGCCTCTGTCAAGGCTGCTGCAGAATTTCCTGTTTTTGTGTTCTCAGAACTGCTAAACTGCTGAAGTTGCCAGTAAAGACCTGGGTGTGTTATCCAGAAGAGGTGGAGTCTATAGCAAATCCAGATTCTTCACTGATATTCTCAAATGGGTATACTGAAGTAAGAACTATTCCATCGCTAACCTCACAAATGGAGTCAGTTCCCACAGCCACAATTCATCTGTGCACTAACCCTGTTTATTTTCTGTTGTGCTCTTTTCTATGTATGAAAACATGGATTTTGTTGCTTAAGTTGCCTCAAAGCCAGCTGTAAACATTTACATATAAAAATGTATTAAGGTAGTCTTAAAACGTGTTCTAAGTGTTAGGGGCAGGGCTAGCAATGTGAAACACACAAATGTGGAAGCAACTTTGTCACTCCCTTAAATGTCAGATTCTGGTCTCAAAGCAAACAGACAGATCCCTCATCTCCTAAAGCAAAGAATCTTGTACTTAGAAGAGTCAAGATCCTAATCAGATTCCCAACTGGAAAGGTGCTCCAGCTTAACACCTGGCTGAGGGTAGATACAGGTCTGGCATGGTCAATAGGGAGAAAGTCTGTACTTTCTAGATACTCTCAGCAGTATTTATCAGTTTTCAAACCTCCCCGGGAATGCAAATACAGCATGATTGAAGGATGCACACAATTCAACAGAACAAACACCTTCATGAGACAGATGGCCCAACAAGAACCTCTTAAGATTCTATTATACAGGAACAAGACTGTAGTTATGATACTTTCAGGCATGTATTCTGCAGGAGCTGGGACCCACAGCAACTCCTCAGCAATGCCCCCACTTTGGCTGGGCTAGCAGCGACAGGCAAAAGAGGCTGAGGGGACCCAAAAGTGTGTGGACTGGCTTCTGGGGCACCGAGGCGGGGTGCCTGCCCAAACAGCCAGCACTTCCCGGGCACCACTTTAAAGTGCCACTTCAGCCCCCACAGGTAGCATGGTCTTTTTCTTTCTGAACCCCACCAAGCAATTCCTTATACTTTGTGGCTACTTTGCAGCCACCAGCAGGCCCTGTCCCAGCACTCTTACCAGAGAAAAGCCAGGCGTGGTCACAGCAGCCGTTACAAACCTGCTGTCCTCACACATACATGAGCCAGGCCTGGCCCTCAGCGTTGCCTCAGTTTCCCCCCTTTGCCTAAATGTGGGGGGAAGAGTGACAGCTCCTAGTCCTGCTCTCCACTCTGGGGACAGAGACTGATGACTTTAGGCTGGGTGGCCAGTTGGGTGCGGAGACAGGCCTGGTCACAGAGACTGGCCAGGCCTTACTGCAGCTGCCCTGACTGCAGCCTCCAGCAGGGCCCTCAGAGACACCACCTCCAAGACACACACAAGGCAACCGGTGGACAGGGCAGCCCAAAAAGAAATGCCAGTCTTTTGGTTAATTTTGTTTTCATGCAAGAGACTTGCTTACAACAACTAAATAACAGCTGCTGAGGTGCCGTTACCTGGTCTGGGTGCGGGCAGGGCTGCTGGCGACGCGTGGAGCTGGTGGGAGGGCTGCTCAGCAATCACCAGTAGGGTCAGATACCTATAAAAACCTTCTTGAAATGCAGTGGAGTTAAACACCCGGACAGCTTCCAGAGAAGAACGATTGAGCTCAGATCTACTTTCACAGGAGGTGATTTGCTTTGGGTCAGCTGTGGCCACGACCTGCTGCGGAGCCGCTGGCGTCTGTGCTGCCGGGGCAGCAGGACCTGCTGCAGGGCCCTGCGCCTCACCCAGGAGCCTGCCCTTCTACACAGAGAGGGGAGCAAACATCTCTCTGCTGGAGGAAAGCATGGCTTACACAAAAAGTAGCGGTTTTAATCCATTTGCTAGGATTTTTTTATTTATGAGACTGTATTAGCTTGGAAGTTTTCCAAAATGCCTGCATGAAACACACCTTAGGATCTCTGAAGCAGTCTGATGTACTTCAGTTCCCCTCAAAAGATCCTGTGCGTAAAACCAGAGCCTGTTTGTTGACAGTGGAGTCTAAATGCAATGTATTGCTTTGGCTAATTTTTTCCTTTGCCTTGGATGGCAGCCTTTTCCAATGTTTTGTTGTCCAAATAACTTGTTAAGCTTTGCCAGGCCTGGACATAAAAAATCTACTTTTATGTTTCTTATATGGCATGTGGAATGCGGAAGCTCAACTTAACTCTGAATGCATCTCCTCAGACCTTTCTTCCTCTTGGGGCTCCATGTGCTGCTGCTTTATGAGAAGGCTGACAAGCTTCTTCAAAGCTTGTGTTGTTCCTGTTATCAGAGAGGAATCAAACAAAATGGGGAGTTTCTACGTGGGAGGCAGTGGCCACGCTAGCCGTTATTTCATCTGCAATAATAGCTCAGTGGCATAAGGGGCATCCACAGCCAAACTTACTGTTTTTCTTGTTTTTCTGCCAAGAGGATTTCCTGATTCCTGAAATTAGCCCCATTGCCAAGAGATATGGTCAGATCAGGTGGTCAGCAGTTCTAATTGCCACAGGAAAACAGAATTCAATCAATTTGATCAGAACTGCTCTTAAAGGGTGGACTAAGGAAGAGCTCTCTTCCACAGAAGTCCTGATCTATCCATAATATAGCATTAATATTCATAGTATTATATACTTATATTATATAGTTTAAAATATAATTAATTAGCCATAACATTTTTATTTGAAAATTGCTTAAATCCTATTCTAATACAGAGGCAACTACAGCAGTGTGTCACCAAATAGCACGATAGCATATTCCTCTTTTCTGATAACACTGTGCTGACCTCTGGCACTTTCATACCCCTGTGTAACCACGGTTAATGTCTCACTGTACGTAGCTTTATATGGATTGATTTAATAAAAGCTGTGTACTCTTATAGTGTAGACAGAGCCTAGAAGTTTCTTTGGGAGTAAAGCTGAGTATAATAAGCCAAGTCCTTCTCTTACTCTACCATAAATGGGGATGCACAGAAGTCACTGGTCCTACACAGATGTAGAAGTAGGTCGTTGTGAATCAGGTTTGAAATCTGTAAGCAGTCACTCCAGATTGCTATCACTTTATATGGCATAAAAGGCCCTTTGTGCTAGGGAGGAGAACAGAAAGTACTATTATAACTAAAAGACCTTTTGTCTGCGCTTTCTGCACATTGAACCACCAGCAAGTCTTGCTCATCTGCCCCAAGTCCACAGGTTTGCAGAGGCCAGTGCAAAAATACCACCTACCTTCAAGGGCTCGTAGGGAGAGACCAGGCTCTGTCTTCTGTGACTAGTTAGAAATATAAATTGGCATATTTTGCAGAATTACCATTTGATTTCCAGTTGCAATCTTTACTCAAATAAAGAATGACAGCTATTAACTTCATAGGCAGGTTTTTATGTGTTGATTTCTCTTAATGTCACATCAATCATCAGAAAACAGGGACATAAATAGCAAACCTTGTTTTAAGATAAAAGCAACAAATTATTATTTTTTTTTAAAGGGTAAGTATTGGTTTATTTAATCATAAGGAAGTCAAAATATACAGTACTGTATCATTCACATACTAGTGTTGATTAAAACATCAGGTCCACAGTTCCCCCTCCAGGTTGGCCCAGGGTTGAATAAACCACAGAAATCTAATCTTAATTTTCTGTAAAATTTATTAACTACAGTTATTACAGGAGTCTTGTGAAGCAGAAAGGAGCCTGGATTTTGGTTTTTATTAGGATTAATTACAAGTATGGATATAAACAAATATGTGATAAAACAACTAAGTTTCCTATCATATGAAAAACATTAATAACAGGATTGTAGGTCCTGCCTCCGAGTTAGGGCTGTGGCGGGGGCGCGGGTGCCCCCTTGTGTTCCTATTAGAACCTTAAATAGATTTTAATTTGTTATCCCACCTCATCAAGACAAGAGAGAAGTTGTCTCAATCACGTAAAGCCTTTGCATTTTAGCGTTTTAATTTACATTAATAACCAATATGAAGTATAACTTTATAACCACTGATTCTATTATACTGCAGACTTTTTGCTAATTTCAGCTCTATTGAAAACCACAAAAGGTGAGTTGGCTGTTTTTACATTTAAGTACAACATTTATCAAAGGAGATTTATTTATTTTTTCCTGGCTGCTTCAAAGCTCTCTAAAGCTGAGGATTTGTTGCTCATGCCTTGCTGCACAAACTGCATTCCTTTGTCACATGCAATATTTCTGCTGTGTCTTTAATTCACTGCCACTTTCTTACCTTACGTACTCTACCCTCTATAGACTTAAAATCTACCACATTTTAAATATACCACACATTGCTTGATGATCTTTAGAGTTGCTTTCTAACATCTAATGAACAAACCCTGTAAATGATACACCTTAAATGATACACCAATGTTTGCTTTAGCCTCAGGCATTTGATGACAGCCATGAAAAGGAAAATAATGAGTCATCTCTACTGCAATGGAGCTAGCAGAGAGCTGCTGATCCTTCAGCAGCCACGTTAATTCATTACTTGGATTTCCCAGCAGGTAGGATGGACACTGGATCTGTTTGCACTTCAGCATCAGACATCCTTTTGGAGCCCTGTGGAATAAGATATAGACATTTATAAACATTTTCAAATATTTCAGAACAGTTACGGCTGGGATTATATGTGTTAGAGTTTTTCTAGCAGTTCCTCCACTCACTTCACCTCTCTTCTTTCCTTAATTTGCCTTTAAGTTAATATGCATAAATATATGATCTCCATCTGCATCATGACAAGCCCAGAAAAATACTGCCTGTGACTGCCTAAACGTGGCTGTTATTTTAATACAGTTTTCCTAGTCATGGAAAGCAATTGTCTTTAGAAACTGGACTAACATACCAGACACATATTGCTGTGCACTTACAGCATTGTAGTTTTGGCATAACTCTCTCTGAAGTATCCCTGGCCTAAACGGTTCACTGACACAGTGCTAAGCATCCTTCAAGCCTGATTAATAGTGTATTATAGGCAGCCTTGGTCTGCTGTAAGTTAAAGGAACATTAAATACTTTCATGCATGACAAGTATTTGACAATGTTAGAGTGTTAAATCTTTTTTAGACTAGAAATATAATTCTGGTTTTGGAATCAGTTCAACACACTAATCTGTCTCTGATGAAGGTAGTACATAGATCTAGCTGTACCAACTGAATTTTTGACCAGCAATTGGTCAAACTTGGCTTTAGTTTTAAGATGCCTTGACCTAATTTTACAGGCTCTGAAGCCATCAAAACTTCAGAACATGAGGACAAAATAAATCCACAACCAGTTTCAGAGGTCACTGTTAACACTGCATAGGATGCCAGTCCTGTTTGCAGCCAGGTGCCTAAACCATTATGTACTAAACA